TCGAGCTCGAGCGTTGCCGCGGGGGCGGAAGGGGCACCCTGCGGCCGGACACCCGGGCTGCGGCGGTGGGCGTTCCTGTCGCCCCCTCCGCCGCACACCCCCGGCGGTTGCTCAAGGACACCCGGCGGCCGCGGCCAGCAGCCCCGGCTGGGGGGGACCTGCCCTGTCCCCATCCCCACGATGGGGCCGTGGAGGACCGCGCTGGGTGCCCCTGCGCTGCACATCCCACCCGAGCATCCCTGGGGATGCGGCCACCCGCCATGACATCCCCATGGGAACGGGGGACAAGGGACCCCTCAGGGCTTCGCAGTTTTAATCAACCCTCCGGGCGCTGAATCCTGCCGGAGACGTCCCTATCGATGTCCTGACAGGGGGAAGATTTAATAAGGCCCATTTACGTTGCCATTGATAGAAGCTATTAGTGAAACGACCACGGAGTGATGGTTAATAAAATATTTACTGTCATCCATCTGGGAAGGCTCTGGGGGCAGCTTCACAGACCCCATTCCAGGTGCCAAAAAGTTTTCCAGGCCCCGGCATGGCTCTGGCATCTCCGGCACCTCCGCAATGAAGGGGGCCTGGAGCCGGCAGCCCTGGGAAACCGCTTCCTCTCCGCCCTGCCCGCTGCGTATTTTTCTCCCCAACCGAGTATTAAAAAGAAATCGGAGCCCATTTTCCTGCAATAAATTTGGCAGAATGGAGAGAAAATGATCTGGCTCTGGAGGGGAGCCAGCGGCCCCGGATACACACCGGGGAGCAGCTGGGAGCTGGAGCCCGGCCATGCAGCCTCTGCTCCCGTAGGTAGCAGGAAAGCATCTTCCCTGGCTCCGGTGCATCCCTCGGGGGACGGGGAAAGGGACCCAAAGCCCTGTTGCCTCACGCTGATGGGGGGATGCCGGTGGTGGCAGCGCTTTCCTGGGTGTCCCCGTGCCGGGAGGGACACGGGTACAGTGACGGCGGTTGCAATGGGGGTACCGATGCCGATTCTTCGGGGTTTTAGCCGGGACGGGCTGCAGCAGGACTTGGACACTTGGAGGCCTGAAATCCAGGGAGCTGCACCCCCCCCGGGGGTACAGCCCTGCTGCAGGGCTGGGGGAGAGGCTGCGGGGACCACCCAGCTCCCCCGTGCAAGGAGCCCTGCAGCGACCTGCCCCGGCCTGGCCCTCTGACCAGGACGGTGCTGCCGGTGCTGTCGGCACCGTGGGCTCCGCGCGGTGATTTTGAGGCCCGTTGTGCAATGGGGCCGTTGGTGCTGGGGGTCCGTGCTGGGGGTCCGTGCCGGCTGCAACGGGGCTGTTTCTGCAGTGGGG